CCCTACTAAAGAAAAAACTAAAAAAATTAAAATTAAAATTTGGTTTCAGGATGCCATTCTAAGGCAGAGGGGCAAAATTGGAAAAAAAAAATTGGGCATTGACCTACCTTCTTTGTAATTTTAGGCCATAATCAGAGCCGTTTGTATTTTCCCTATTTAGGGTCCGTACATAAATTACTCATTTTCTTTTTTTATGAACAATAATTCTATACCTTGGTTTACAATTCTTGTTAGTTACTAATATAATTCTTGTTTTTAGTACTTTTGGTGGTTGTTTCATTTTATGCCCCCTAATAAATCTATTATGTGTTTTGTGATGTGACAACATAGAAAGTATTGCTATTGGATTTATTGAGAGTTTTGGTAATAAAATTATCTAGTAATGCCATAAAAATATGATAAAATTACGTAAATATCTGTTATACTTTGTGTTATTACGGATGTACCAAATAGTTTCCGTTATTACATGTATGTATGTTTTTTACCTTTTATAATACACTTTTTTTAAAAAGACGACTTTACCCTTTTTCGGATGTTGAACAACCGAATTGGAGGGGCTTTTGGATGTTCAACATACAAAAATAAGCCGAAAGTTTAACGTTCACATTCCCATGGGTGTTGAACATCCGAATTGAAGGGTTATGTCGCTACATTGTATTCCTAATGAAAATGGTTTCGGATGTTGGACATCCAAAAATATCACATTTTCAGATGTTGAACATCCAAAAATTTGACATTTGCAGATGTTGAATATCCGAAAATGGTTTCAGATGTTGGACATCCAAAAATGTCATCTTTTCAGATGTTTATCATCAAACAATGACTGCGAAATTTCATAGACTTTCTGGAAATTAAAAGTCATATTTTCGAATGTTGAACATCCGAAATATGACATTTCAGATTTTCGGATGTCCAACATCCGAAATCATTTTCGGATGTCCAACATCCGAAAAACCTTTCAATTCGGATGTTCAACACCTGAAAATGAGAATATGAACGTTAAAATTTCCGCCTATTTTAGGATGTTAAACATCCGGAAAACCCTCCAATTTGGTTATTCAACATCCGAAAAAGGGTAAAGTCATCTTTTTTAAAAAAATTGAGTTTTAAAAGGTAAAAACAGACATACATATTTGGTACATCCGTAATAATGCAAAGTATAATGGATATGTATATAATTTTTCTTAAAAATATTGTTCAATGACTTTAATATATTTATACAATAACTGCAAATCATAATCCTATTTTGTGTCATTTTTACAGATCCAAAAGTTTGAACACAACATCGAAAAAAAGAAAAAAGTTGTAAGTTTGAACTAGTTTACCTGCTTTGGTTTGTTTTAGTTTAATTTTTGCTTTAGATGTTGTGGCATGTTGATTTCTCACGTTCTGGTTTTGAAATTTGCTCTTTATTAATACATATTATTCGATGCATACAATGTTGTGTTATGCTTGTATACCAAGCATTCAGATTTTGAGATTAGTATATTTAGCCATACAATTTATTGATGTTATTCTTGTAATAAAATTATTTGTGATACTTCTCTGATTTTAACCCGCTCGCTTCATGTAATTATTATTTTTCTTTCTTTGTAATATTCATAGGAAAATTAGTTCTTTTAGTCTTTATATTCCTTCTTCATGTCTCTTGCTCGTTGATTTCTCATACTGTCATACATAAAAATGCGGAAGTACTGGGAACTTACTTTTAGTTTCACTTGGCTTAAGAATTCTGTGTGATTAACTCCACCTCTCTGGTTCCTTATACTTGTTGCAATTTTATTGAGGCTATTTCTTAAGTTACATAGATGTGAGATTAAATTTCAACTTAACTATACATGGTAAGAAATGCGTTAGCTAGGTAATAACAAGAAAATCTTATTAAAAAATATACATTACACGCATCAATTTCTCTTTCATAAGGGAAAAGTTAAAACTGGCTGTTTCGTGCTTTCTCAGTATCAAGATTATCAAACCGGCAAAAACAGTAGCATCATAGTTTACGACACAGGGCTCCCAGCTTTGCTACCAATTTTCACTTTCTCCCATATTCCAGGAAAGTACGCAGCAAAGGAGAATCCCTAAATTACTGCAGCTATCAAACGCGCCCTAAGTTTCCCGAATTTGATTACTGGGAAAGTCGGAATCCCTTATTTCCCCTCTCTACTGTTCAGTTTAAGGAAAGCAACAGCTGTTCAGGAGAAACTTTATAAACCCATTCCTTCTTCTCTCCTGCAAACCATTCCTACTCAGCTCAGCCACTCTCTCTCCCAACCCATCACCAAGAACTTAGGTAAGCTCTGACCATACGAACTGAGGTAATAATGCTCAGAGAGAGAGAGAGATGCCATTAATGCTCGTGCAAAGTTGCCGAGTGCTTCAGCCACCAGAGAGAGAGAGAGAGACAGAGAGAGAGAGAGAGATACCATTAATGCTTGCGCAAAATAGCTGAGTGCTTCGGCCACCAAGAAAATGGCTTCCGTTTTGATCCCAACCCCACATTCACAATGCCCCCTTAAATTCCCCATTCAACCTTTTTTCCTCATCTGCAAGTTCGTGGTCTCTCTGCTTAATCTCTCTCATATTTGCATACATAATTTTCAGAGCTTGTATGCTCTGATATGTATTGGATGAATTAGGGTTTGGGATGTGGGAAATAGGGACTAATAGTCACAGAGCTACTGGTTTTTGGGAATTTCCGGGTCTTAAGTTTTAAGAAAATAGGGTTGGTCTTAAGTTTTAAGAAAATAGGGTTTGGTTTGTGGTTACGGTTTAATGTTTTGAGAGCTTTATGTTTTTAGTGATTTCATTGTGGTGTTTTTTGCATAAACCTCTTGGTGATTTGAGAACTCTTATTTTTGGATTTGCATGCTGATTTTTGTATTATCATCTGATAAATCTATGTGAAATATATCGCATTTCATGATGAACTAAGATTCGATGGTTGTAAGGATTTCCTTTTCTTTCCCCCCCTTGAATTTTCAATAAATAAGTTGATATTGCTGCAAAAAAATATATAAGAAAATCATACAGTTTAAGTTCTTTACTGTAATTTAGATTTTAGGATCTTCTGATACTATGAACTTCATTTTTGTTGCTCTGTTTTGGTTGTAGATTTTTCCACCTATGTTTTTATTTATCCAAATAATGGTTCTCATGCCTTTTTGTATGTTAGGATAGACGAGTAAATATAGTTAACATGGGGAGTTCTATAGATCAAACATGGTAATCAAAGAGACCTATTACTATTGTTGTCTTAATTTTGCCTTTCTAAATAGCAGCTAATATAGTTAACATGGTGCGTCCAAAGCCTCGTTCATCCAAAAAATCGAAGCAGGGTGGCGTAGACTTCAAAGTGAGCTCTCATTGTCTCTACTATTTATTTGAATTATGTTATGAAGTCTCTTTATTTTGAATTTTTATTCCTTTGCATTTCTTTTATCTCCTTTTGCAGAAAGTAAAGCATAAGGTTGGACGGAAATTGCCCCCCCCGAAGAATGTGACAAATCTTACTATCAAATCCAAAGGTCTGTATATCTTTTCATATTTGATTATTTCTTGGTTTTTTTTTGTTTTTTGAAGAATGGGGAATAAGATTAATGAGTTTCGATCATGATTTGGTTGAAATGTATGCTATTGAACCCCTTTCACTCTCTGAAGATTAGTCCCATCGTCATTCATAATTGGCTAATAATTGGCTAGAAGCTCCAAGCCATACAATAAATATCAAATAATAGATAAATATTTAAAAATGGGATAAACTTTGAAAATAATTGAAAGATTTTGATTCTTGAGTGTTTTTTTTTTTTGGGAAAAAGTTTATATGAGGGCGATGCTCTAAACAATCAAATTAAGGCGCACCTCAAAAATTCACTAGAAGAGGTTGTTTCTATGCCCAAATATCCCCAAATCGATAATATCGACCTCAAGATGTATGGACATGAGAGAAAATAGATTTCAAGTCTTAGAAATAGTGCATCTTGTAATGCATTTTCTGGACCGTCAATTTTCAATATTTTCAAGTGTTTATTAATCTGCTTGATCTCCACTATATTTGAAACTTTAACTTTTACAATTTGAGTGGCCTTTTCTCAATAACTTTAGTAAAAAGAGTTACCAAGAAACAATGAGCATGCTCCCAAAAGAATAGGAACGTGTTTTTTAATGAGTTCCTAAGCCGCGAAACTGCATATTGGCACTACCTTAGATAGGAGACCCAATAAGTATTGTTTGAATAGGTGAGGAGTTTGGTTGTGAAGAATCTCAGATGGGAATGTGCCGCACGAGGGGAAAGAAGTTGTTGTCTAAGCTTACGTGGAGAGAACCTCTAGTTTACAAGCTCAGGTTTTGGGGAATCTCTCCACCAAAAGAAGAAGCGCTGCAACATTTAGGAAGCACTCCCAAACATTGCTAGTGTTGTAGAATCATTCTCTACAAAGAGATTTGTTAATCTCTCTTCCAAATGTGGCCTCTCACCACAATTGAAACCCAAATTTTATTACTTGACTTGAATTGAATTGGCCATAGGCCTACATGGATATCAATAGTGTTTTGAGTCCCATAGTATTTGACTTGGCTTGGGCCTCAAGCTATCTCAACTTTCCTAAACTTCCTAATTTTCTAGAATCTTCCAAAATCAGATAACTAGTTCCCTTATAGTTATAGGCATGGTCACTGGGATCTTCTAAGGAAGGGTTTGCTCCCTCTTTGGGACCTCGACTCCGGGCGATGCCATGATATTTGAGATCTCGTTTTGGGAAATTAGGGAACTCAATTCTATGAAAAAGCTATGATGATGATGATGAGGGAACTCAATTCTATGTAAATGGGATCCACGATTCCACCAACTTGGAATCGCGTATCATCTACTTTGGGAGCAAGTTTCACTGGCACATGGTTTACTCCAATTATAATGGGGAGTAGATCTCCAATTTTTAATATTGAAAACTTTCTGAATGCCATAATTTCCACAATATTGTGCAGTAAACAACTATACATACGTTGTTATTTGTGACTCGTGTCTAATTTCAAAGAAAGGCCACAAGTGTAGGCAAGGAGAGAGAAGGAAGAAGTTGGTAGGAGATACAAAAGTTAGTTGTATTGCAGTTCTATTGAGGAATGGGGATGTGAAACTTACGCTTCACTTCATTAGGGCTAGTTCATTGGGTCATGTCCACCTCCGAAAGACTTCTATCGTTTGAGTGTTGATTAACCAATTCACACCACTCGTGGGGTTGCCTTACAGGTGATGGAATAACATATATGCTCAGAAACTGTGAGGTCCCTCTTGTGTATATATCATTGAGCCCCTAGCAATCCTCGACGGAGAAGAGCTATTAGGAATTATATACGGCAATGTCTTACTTTTTTTCTTGTTTTGTGAAGTAGCGCTTAGCTATTATGACATCCCTACGTCGTTACACTCCATTTAGGTTAGGAATAGGCGTAATTGGACCTGCTTTTTCATATCTATTGTTTTGGGTACCATATTCACTTTCGTTTGGGCTTCTATTGAATCGAGAAAGAGGTTTGATTGTACATCTTTTTTGGAAACAATGTATCACAACTTTCTTAAATTTAATCATGAATTGATATTCAAGTGGTCCAATTCAACAGTTTGGTGCCAAAAATGAGGGCAGGTGTGTACGTAGGCATACCATTGTGGCTTGGTTTGAAATTTTTGTAATGGATCCACATGAGTAATTTTTCACAGTGAATTTTGCTTAAGTAATTGTTTTTATCAGGCTGTGTTGATAAAGTTTTTGTCAACAGCTCAAAAGTTAAGATGAAATAGATGTGTATTATACATCGTGTTAATGGTGCACTATTGCCTAAAAATGTTGAGAGAGTTTGTTCTTGTCACTATGTGCATGAGGGAGATAGATCACAATGTTCCCCAAGGAATTTGAAGAGAATGGGAGTCCAAGGAAGTCCCCGATGGTTTTATCACAAAGAGAGAGAGAGAGAGAGAGAGAGAGAGAGAGAGAGAGAGAGAGAGAGAGAGAGAGAGAGAGAGAGAGAGAGAGAGACGACGACGTACGTACGTACGTACGTACGTACGTACGTACG